CTTACAAATGCTAGGTAATGGATCCTGGGTGGAAGAACACCTTCTCAGAGTCCTAAGTATGTGGTAGGAAAGAAAAGTTTTGGCTGATTCTTTAGTTGCTTGGTTCTAAAAGCAGAATTTGATGTGATCTTGATGTTCAGGGTATAGGAATGTGAAACAGTTTTTTTTCTTTTTCTTTTTGCTTGAAGCTGTGAAGTTAGTATCAACTTCTCTGATTTCTTTCCTCCCTGTTCTCTGGTCTGTAACTTAATTTAGGACACCTCAGAATTCTTCATCAAAAAAAACAAAAAACAAAACAAAAAAAAACAAACAAAAAAACCGCTAGAACAAACCCTGATAGGAACAGCGAATATTTCTTGAATGCCCGTTGCTTGGAGATCACTGGAATCTGATAATTATCTCTATAATAATTTTGTAAATATGTCTTATCTTCATCTTGCAGATGTCAATGATGTTAACTTTTTGGTCACTCGGCTGTTGTATTCGATTTGCTTACATTTTTGTTTTAAAATATTATTATTTTTATATGTGTATGAGTGTATTGCCTGCGTGTACGTAAGTGCAACCATATCGTGCAATGCCTGTGGAAATCATAAGAGGGTGTTGGATCTCCTGGAACTGGAGTTACGGATGGTGGTTAGCCACCATGTGGGTGCTGGGATTCGAACCCGGGTCATCTGGAAGAGTAGCTCCCTTGGAACTGGAGTTACGGACAGTTGTTAGCTGCCATGTGGGTGCTGGGATTCAAATCCGGCTCTTCAAGAACAGTCAGTGTTCTTAACCGCTGAGCCATCTCTTCAGCCCCAATTTAAATTTTTAAAAAATTTATTTTATTATTTATGTGTACGAGTGTGTCTACGTCACATGTGTGTGGGTCCCATGAAGGCAGAAGGAGAGCGTCAGACCCCTGGAGCTGGAGTTACAGGCAGTTGTGAGCCACCAGGCATGGGTGCTGGGAACCGAACCTGGGTCCTATGCAAGAGCAGCAAGCGCTCTTAACTGCTAAGCCATGCTTGCATTTATAAACTTGTTTGGTGCCTTTTGGTGTTGTTGCCAGGTTTGGGTGTCTGGATTATTTGGTAACTCGTTTCCAAAATGCGTTGAGAAAGCGTTGGTGATTTACTTTTAATATTCCAAAGTTTTAATAAATTGGAACAAAAGCAACCCCGAGGGATGCTGTCAGCTCTAAGATGTGTACGCCCTGGTAACTACGTTTAAAACACACAAACTCTGTAAGTTTCCTTCCTTCTGCAGCCACGTGGGAGCTTCGCGTGTCTGACCGTGGTCTCGGGGGACAGGCCGGGACGGCCGGGTCTCTCCGGAGGGCGGGCCGGGCGCGGCTCCTCCCCGGGACGCGGCTCCTCCCCGGGCGGGCCGGGGGCGGTGGCCCAGCCGGAGAGCGGAGACCCGTCCACGTTTGCAGACGTGTGCCCGTCTCGCCCCGGCCCCGCGTCCGTGTCGCCCCGCTTCTTTCCCGGAGCCCGATGGTGTCCCGGGCCCGGCCCCGGGGCGGGCGGCCCCCGCTGCCGCCGCTGCTACTGCTGCTGCTCTGGGTGACCGGGCAGGCGGCGCCCGTGGCGGGCCTGGGCCTGGGCTCCGCCTCGGAGCTGCAGATCCAGCGGCGCTTCGTGCCGGACGAGTGCCCGCGCGCCGTGCGCAACGGCGACTTCGTGCGCTACCACTACGTGGGCACCTTCCCCGACGGCCACAAGTTCGACTCCAGGTACCGCCGGTTCAAGCTGCCCGACCACTGGTTCAGTCCCCAGGCTGCCAAGCCCCCACGCGCCCTATCCTCTCCCTCCCTCCCCAGGCCACCCCCACCCTGGTTCCTTCCCCAGGCTGCCGAGCCCTGATGCTCCCCATCCTCTCCCAACCTCCCTCCTTCCTTCCCTCCCTCCTTCCTTCCCTCCCTCCCTCCCTCCCTCCCCAGGCCGCCCTGTCCCTGGTTCCCTCCCCAGGCAGCCCCATCACCCTATCCCACGCTACCTCCACCCCACTCCCCCAGAATGCCCTGTCCCCCTCCCTTCAGCTCATTTCCTCCCCCAGTGCACCCCATCTTTGCACCCCCCATTTCTTGTATTCTTCCCCCTCTTCATCTGCTGTCCAGGGTGAGGGGAACCCAGGACTGCACTCTTGACTGGGACTTTGCATTAGTGAACAGGAGGGCCCTGCCCTCCCTCTCCCTGGCTTCACACATTCGTGTAAAATGGCCACAAGAGACCCTTTGGACTGGTTCCTTGAATTTCATCTCCGGAATGTCTACCCAGTGATAGACACTGAAGATGAGGAAGAGGAGGCTGGTAATCACAACCACTAACACTGAGTTAAGGGCTAGGCAGAATTTTGTTTTGCATATATATGCATACACACACACACACACACACACACACACACACACACACACACACCAATTCATTTAAATTGAGAGTTCTGTGAAGTAGGTGTCATTGCCTTCATTTTACCAATGAGGTAATGAAGGCCACTGAGGCTAAGATTTGGGTAAATGGTGGAATCAGGCTGGATTTCTGGCAGTTCAGGTGCTCTGGATGGGAGCAACCTCCTGGGTCCCTTCCCCTTTGATGTACTGCTGGGATTTGACTTTGCCATGCGGCTTCGCCTTTGAAGCTCTCACTAGGCCAGTGATGCCTTTCTTCAACTCTTGCCCCAACATCACAGCCCAGTGCCCCACTCTCCCTGCCGTAGCTTTGGGAGCCTCTGTCTCCTGCTTCATGCATCTGTCCTTTCCCAGGCTGTTGTTAAACCCCGGTCTGTGCTCAGGTTTCTCTTAGTGAATCTCTCCACGAGGCCAATAACTGTTGAGCCTCTGCTGTGTGCTTGAGGCTGTGCTGAGGTTATTTATAAATACAATACTGGCTGCTACCCTGTCTAAGCAGTTCAGCATGTCAGTACCATGTGGCACATAACAATGGTAACTGCTGGAAATGGCAGTCCTTAGTGTTATTTATTTTGGGGTGGGTAATACTACAGGAGGATTGAACCTAGGGCTTTGCTCATTTTGGGAAGGTCTCTATCAGTAAGCTATTTCCTCAGACCTAGGCTTACTAGTGTTATGGTAGCTTTTATAACAAACAGTTTTATTGAGATATGACTCCCTACAGTGCAATTCACCTATTTAGAATGTACTGGACTCCCAGATGGTTCAGTAGTTAAGGTACTTGCCGCCAAGTCTGATGACCTAAGTTCAGTCCTTGGGACTAATGGTGGAAGCGGAGAGATGCGCGTACAAGGCATCCTCTGACCTCCACAACTTGCCATGATAACCTCCCCCCATAAATAAATACATAAATAAATGTTTAAAAACTTGAAAAAATAAAATGTACAGTTTGGTAGGTTTTCATGGAGTGTCATATAAATACTGTAACTATCTAATTCCAGGGCATTTCCATCATTTTAAAAAATGCTGGGCATCTCCTGCCTTCCCTCTCCCCGCTCCCATCAGAGGCCCTGGCAAGCACTAATGGACTTTGTGTTCCATAGATTTGACTGTTCTGGGATTTCATATAAAAGGGAGGCATACAACTTATGGCATTCTGTGTCTGACTTCCTCACTTCTTGTTTCTAAGCTTCATCCATGTTCAGCAAGTGTCAGTGCTTCATTCCATTCATGTTGTATGTTTTGTCATATGCACATACCACATTTTGTTTACATGTCAATTGATGGGCATTTGGACAGTTATAGTTTTTGGCCATTATGACTAATGATGTCATAATCATTCATGTACATGATTTTTAAAACCATTTTCATTTGTTTTGGATAGATACTTAAAATATTCTATTTTTATGTGTATAAGTGTTTTGCCTGCATGCATGTAAATGCACCCATGTTGTACAATGCCTGCAGAAGTCAGAAGAGAGCATCAGTCCCCTGGAACTGAAGTTATGAATGTTAGCTACCATGTGGGTACTGAGAATCAAACTTGGGTCCTCTGCAAGAACAGCCAGTGCTCTTAATTGCTGAGTTGTCTCTCTTGCCCTGGATATATACTTAAGAATGGAATTAATGGGTCATGTGGTACCTATGTCTAAGTTTAGGAGGCCCAGCACCTCAAAAGTAACTACTTAATGCACCAAACAGTGCTTTCCCTCTGTCAGTGTTCCTTGTTCTTCATGTTCTTGTTAACACTTAAAATCATCTTTTTAAAAACTGTATTTCTTTATTTAGTGTGCATGTGTATGTGGGTGTGTGCATGCCACGGTGAAAGTGTGAAAATAGAGATCAGCTTGCTGGAGTCAGTTCTCTGTTCTCTCCTTCACCATGGAGGGCCTGGGGATTGAATTCAGATCCCCAGGCTTCCTGGCGAGCACCTTTACCTGCTGAGCCATCTCAGTTCATCATCATGGTTTTCCTTTGCATTTTCCTAATGATGTTGAACATTTGTTCATGTACTTGTTGGTCATTTGTGTTTCTTTCATTATAAAATAGGAAATAATTTCTTGCTGGAGCTGAAGGTAATTCCCTTTAGAACAAGTTGTTCTACTCTTTAGGGTAGCTGCCACTGTAGGGAGTATAGGATGGGAGGAAGCACATTGGCTTTATCGTCCGTCCACTTAAGCATTTATCAGTGTCTGCCTCAAGACTCTGTCTAGTCTCACGTCTCTTCCCTGATCCTGTCCTTTAATCTAGGCAATTACAAAAGAGTGTTATTGGTTAAGAACAGAAGTTTATATACTCTCATAAAAGATCGTGTATAGTTTTTAACCCTGTGTTTTCATATATATTAATTCCTATAATCTCAAAAGAATTCATTTAACTCCACAAGACAATGGGAAAGGTATCTCATTACAGATGAAGAAAGTAGGCTAAGAAAGTCCAAATGACTTGCCCAAGTTATCTAACTACTGGGTGGTCATGTGGGAATTTTAACCCAGGCAGTTTAGGACCATAATCTGTGGTCTATAATCTACTTACAAATATGGTGGAAGAAAGGCAAGATGCTACAAAAACACACAGAAGGCTTAACCATATGTTGTGTGGGTGGGTGGAAGAGGTGAGTGGTGAGGATGGAGCCCTCAGATTGCAAGGATAGGACTTGGGGAAGACTACAATGTACTAGGGAGGAGCTGAAGAGGGGGGCTCAGGTACAGGTGGCTATGCTGGTGAGTCTTCATTCTCTTCAGTGTGGAGGTGGCTGCATGTTGTTGGGGGAAGTCAGTGTGATCTGAGCTTGAAGTAAGAGTGGGATAGTGTGGGGCTGGAGAGGTGGCTCAGCGGTTAAGAACACTGGCACTGGCTGCTCTTCCAGAGGACCCCGGTTCCATTCCAGCACCAACATGGCAGCTAACAACCATCCATAACTCCAGTTTCAGGGGATCTGACACCCTCTTCTGGCCTCTGCAGGGCATTGTACACATGAGGTGCACTTACATACATTCAGGCAATGCACTAGTATGCATAAACTAAAAATAATAAAATATTTTTTTAAAAGAATGAAACAATGAAAGAAAGGACGAAGGGATTAAGGTAGGAGGAAGCCAGAGGTAAAGATGTTAAAAAAAAAAAGTTTAAAGATTTGCTTTCTTTTCATTAAGAAGTTTAATCGACATACTGAATTCTATATATGTGTGGGATACAGTGTAATTGCTGTGGGCCAGACAGCTCTTGAGGAATCTTGCTGCCTGGCTATGGGGCTTAGCCTTTGTCTAAGGCCAGTTTAAAGCCAGTGAGGACTTTGAGCCCTAGGATCTAGGGATCAGATTTGCATCTTATAAGAGGCCGCCTGGTGGAAATCAGGAGGGGGCAGGACACACAGCAGTTGCTTCACCTGTTCCCACATCAGGGCTCTATTCCTTTGAAATCTGAAGTATTGGGACAGGACTTTGATAGTCTTACACTGAGCGTGTGGGGAGGAGAAATACAGGAGTCTGTGCTTTTGTTGCCTTGGAGGTTTTGCCTAGGAGAAGATGGTGACTGTTGGGCTGGTGAGATGGCTCAGTGGGTAAGGACGCATGCTGCTAAGCTTGATGACTTGTGCCCTGTCCCCCAAATAAATACATGCTAAAAATAAAAAAAGAGAAAATGGTGACTCTTAGTCTGACTACAGCCACAAGCCACAGTCTTTTGTGCCCCAGAGCTTCTCTCTGTCTCTGCTGGACACCTGAAGGCATTTGGTACCTTTTCTGTGTGTGGGTGTTCACAGTTGCCAGGAAGCCCAAGACCTTCATTCCTTGACCACTGCCTTGGGTGTGGCTTTGTTTAGCTTCAGCATCTTCTTAATATGCTCCTATGTGCATTGCTCCAGATGTAAGCAGATGGCAGCCTCCAGCGGCCTCCGGAGTTCCTTCGCAGCCATTCCTGATCCTGGTTTTAGGAGTTCCCTCATTTTCTTAGCTGTGAAAGTAAAGGGAATCATCAGTTTGTGCACTCTAATTTCCTTACGGGAACAAAGTTGAACATGCTCCCATTTCATTTTCTTGGGAAAAGTGTATTACTGGTTCACTCACAGTCTCTAGGCCTGTGTGCAGACCTGCAAGGTCCCTGCATTCAATAGATGTTGTTATGTGCCTACCACATGCCTTGGTGGGTAGGCAGAGTTGTGGTTCCTCTAGCCTTCAAACTAAGTGCATCAGAGTCACCTGAGAGATTGCTGTACTGTTTCTGAGTCTCTAGCTCTGGGAATAGGATCAAATAATTTGCATTTGTGATAAGTTCTCTACTGATGCAGCTGGTCTGAAGTCCAGACTCTGAGAGCCTTACTCTAAAAG